TCAAATGTTTACCAACCCGATTATGCTCGCCGTCACCCGAAATTTTCAAGCAATTTGGCTCGATCGATCATTAACGAAAATACGCTTTTAAGCTGGAAAAAAACTTTCAAAGTTCAGACTGTAATGGAGGGAATATTCCACGCCGAGCTCTATATCTAGTAAAACTCCCCATGCACGGATAGGGAACAACTGCATTAATAGGGTTGCGGTGGTTCCAACTTTGGAGTCCCCAAATAAAGTACCAACCCTGCTAATGTATTTTCTATCTATGCATGGGAATTTTGACTAGGTATAAAGGTGAATTCTCAACGTAGCGTGGGATATCCCATCCATTACAGCCGCGACTTTGAGAGCTTTTTTGAGTTTAGGGATTTATTTCAGAGAAAACAAATGGCATCATTGTTTTTCTCGCGAAATTTTACATAGAAAGAGAAAGTACTTAAATCGCAAATCCCTGACACATGCAAGATTTCCACCCCTCCTTCTAGAAGAAACTTATCCCCTTCAGTATGAAAATGATTCACATATTGATAAAATATAAGTTAAAAATGATAGTTCGTGCCCTCACATAAAATAATGAATCTTTTTAACTTCTTTTATTTGCAAACATAAGTAAATTAAACTAGAGTACCTGTATAGCGAGAGTATAGACAGATGTGAAACTCCGAAAACCCATCAGGCCTTCACCGATGCCTCTGCGAATAAAGTTAGGGCCCAGAAATGCAGCCAACCTATGAATTTCAATAATCCAGAGCGATTTACTAATATAACTGTTACGAACCATCGTTTATAAAGCAGGTATTTGACTTAGTTTTTGCATAAATTTACTCATTTTTGCGTAAGAACTCTCATTTATGTACATTCTTTGCCATCTTAGTTAGAATTGAAATCTGCAGACTGGCAGTGAAATTTTGTGCGTTAGAAGCTGGTTGGAAGGGTAGCTGCACTTTTGGGCCCTAAGCCCTCCATGAAGCGATCTGTCCATACTCTCACTATACAGGTACTCTAAATTAAACTAACGGGTACACTGCCGTGCTAAGGAAGAATGCCGTGTGAACTTTCTGGCGTTGCCAAATTTTCTTGGATAAATCACGAATGTCCTGGTAAACTTACGAATATTTTTCTTCAATTTTTTCGCGATTTAATCTACATTATCTGAAAATTTCATTGAAAAATATTCATAACTTTTCTACAAAATGAACATTTTATCGGAAAAAATGTGGCAACTCTTGAATGTTCATACGACGTTTTTCCTTAGCATAGCAGTACGAATTCTGACTGTTTCGCGATCAGACCCCCCAAAGCGCTTTATGCCTCGTCCGTTATGCTTTACGCGTTATTTTATGACTTCATATGATGGTATAAGATGTAGCTAGACGCAGCTCAAATTTCAGGAAAAAAACAACAGCATATAATGTAATTTCACTAATATATATACTAGAATTTATTCTGCTCTAGTTTCGCCATTGTACTCCTACAGATCGGGTTATAGGATTCATGTCGAATTTCATTTTTGCGGAAGACGAATAGTCATCGTTTTTGTCCCGAATGCAGTGTGATTTATCAGGATTGCTCTTTGATAATCCAAAAAAAGGAAGACTCATTAAATTAGGTTAAAAGAAACTCTACGTATCAAAGTCAGATACCTAATTTTTGTGCGATTTCGAGGTCTGGCAACGTTTAAATAATGTACTTTTCGGGAAATTAACGATGTCGCGACAAAAACCAGTAGTGATTTACTGTATCGGCACAGTAGGCAACGCTGGTATTAAGTTCAAGTGTGATAGAAACAATCAGAGCTTCAGTTTAGTTAGTGTCGTATACGACTCGACGGATACCAATAGAATTTCATTATAGCTCCTGAATGCAACTATTCGAACTCTATGGATGTCTGTGTTGCATATTCATAAGAGTGAAGGCGTTTCGACCGCTGACACTAAACGCCTCACCAGCAGCGGCGTTCAGTGGAGTGAGTCCACGCTCCACGGGAGGAGTCATACAAAATATGGAAACATTATAAGCTCACGTCGATGTTAAAACGGAACTTTAAGGTTTTGGAAGTGGCTCCATTGGGCTTCTCTTAAAATTTCTCTACAGAGCCACCCCACACAATTTATAATGTGAAGTAAGGAACATAAGAATTTGCAGTTTTACTCGAAATCTTCAGGCCCCACCTCTCTGAGAGGTTCGTTTCATCGCGCGGCGGGCTCTACTGCGAGCGAGGCCCTAAATTGACAGGGTGCATTCAATTTTTCATCTGGGTAGTTTCACAATAACTGGATAGTTTTGTCGCCGTAAAAGACTACACATTTTTCGGTCATATTTTCAGTAGTAATATTCACTCGAATTTTTTCACATTAATCTTCAAAATCTTCTTCAATTCTATAACGTTTTCTAATGATTTATTGCTCTACTTCTCAATTAAAATTATGTAAATTCCGAAAATATGCCGTCTGTTACGCGGTAAAAAGGCAGCGTAACAGGCAGCACATTTTCGGCCATTTATATATTAAGATTGAGAAGTAGAGCGATAAATCTTTGAAAAGTGGTATAACACGTAACCCTGTGTACATTAATGCAAAAAAATTCGAGTGATTATCATGAATACTAAACATTTGACGGAAAAATGTGTTGTCTGTTACGGCGACAAAACTATTCCAGTTATCGTGAAACCACCCTTTTATACTGCGGTTGCAACTCTTAGGTATGAACAGCTGCAGCTCTACAAATCATGATCAGGACATCGCGATATCAAAACTGAAGCAAAAAATATACTCACATCCTACGCCTGTTGGCAACTATCATTATCGTGCCTAGGAGAAATCTTCGTAGCATAAACGAAGAATCGATAGCGATCTGCCATTTTGGATACACACAGTAAAGACCACCGTTGGCGCCGGGCCGCGAATGAAGCAGGAGTGCCCGGAAAGTCAAAACGCCTTCACCTGCGTCCATATGCAACACGGACATCCATAAAGCCCGAATAGTTGCATCTAAGAGTTAAAATGAGTGCTCGTCACACTTGACACTTTTTTAGGGGGCTTAGTGTTTCTTTAACACCTTAACTTAAATCCAGCTTTGCCTATTGTGCCGATGAAATGCTACTCTTCGTTTACATCGCAACATTGAAGATTTTCCGAATAATATCTTGATTGTTTGATAATATAACAACGGAACCGTTTTAAAATGTGGGCTGCGGCCCTTGCCTTTTCTAATCTATACGAAAAAAATTAAATTGCTGATTTAACAATTCGATTGCTAAAAAAAGTGACTGCAAGGTTTCAATGTAGCTTTTAAAACCAAAAAATGCTACTATAACCACTATTTTAAGCTAATTTAACTACGGGGGTGGTTAAAGTAGCATTTTTTTGTTGTAAAATCTACATTGAAACATTGCAGTCACTTTTTTAGTGAATTGTTAAATCAGCAATTTAATTTTTTCCGCGTAAGTACGAAGAATGCGGCGAAGTCGTTTCATGGTTGCCCCAGGAAAAACTCGAGCGCGAATCTTAACATATTTATTTATTTATTTATTTATTTACTTATTTTGTTTATTTATTTATTTATTTATCATTTATTTACTTATTTATTCATTCATTCTCTTTTCTCGCTGAAAAAATAGAAAGAAGTCCTGTCAGAAAATTTAAATCGACCAACAGTTAATTTTGAGCTCGGTAAGGCAGGTTCCGAAGCTTTTAGAAAGTATATCTTACGTTTCTGGTCAGTTCTGGGAGCATCGAATCGGAGCACCGATAAAAGACTGAGTTCATAAAAAAACGAATCAAAGTTTCTTTGGCATTATATTACTTTTTTGAAGCTCCATTCAATATTTATTCTATGTCCCATTAGGTACACAGAAAAAAAAAGGATGCTGATTTGACATTCTGGATGTAAAAAAGTGTGCGACAACTCACAAAACGCTATGAATTAACCGCCTCAGCAGTTACTTCCGCAATGTCAAGATGTAAAACTAACTGCTCTGGCGGTTAATTCAGCGTTTTGTGAGTTGTCGCACACTTTTTTACATTCAGAATGTTAGATCAGTGGGTAGTTTTTGATTAGTTATTATTTCTTTATCTCAGATAGATTTATTTGAATGAACCAAGTTGATTTCATTTTTTTACCTGGTAGAGAGTATAATAAATGTGGTTTTAGAATTAGTAAATTTGTGAATTATTTGGATATGAAAAAAAATACAACCATTCGAATTTAAAAATGTAGGGAGAATGGCCGGTAACGAAAGAGAGCTATGGGACCTGTGAATTTTTTGCTTTCATGTTCTACTTCATGTCCAGTCAATAAAAGGACAGAAAATACTAAATTTATTTATCATGCCACGTGGAATACCCCAAATTTTTTGAGGTCCTCCTCTGGATTCTCTTTCAGAGTCTTGGACCCTTATTAGGACCCATGAGAAGCCGAAATCAATCTCGCACCAGTTAAATTCGTTTACTAAATCCGGCATAACCGTTGAGTACGCACTGCAAAAAGCTTCTTTCCTGTTCTGCCGTGCTAAGGAAAACCGTCGTAGGAAGCTTCAATTTCAAATCTCTCTCCATAAATTGCGAATTTTCAGGCAAACTTGAAATTTTTTTCTTCTTCTAATTTTTCGAATAATATCCTGGATCTACATAACGAATTTGAAAATTGAGGAAAAATAGTCATAACACTCCTCATACGGCAGTGTTTGCGTTGCGGTGGCATGCTTAAGTTCTGCATTTCAAATTTCGCGCTTCCAACTCTCATGCAGCGCAGTCTACTGGTAAAAACGTGGACCATAAGCACTCCCATTGATAGTTAGCGCAACCTGTTGACGTACTTTGACACTACCTTTATTTACTTCAAAAAGTCGTTATGAATGCGTGCTTAAGCTTATGACTCGACTTGTATTTCGGCTGTTTGAGAATCAGCTTCATCTTCCGGTCTCCGTGTGACAAATTGAACTTTCTAAACCAATCACGAGCTTAAATCCGTGCTTTGTCTGGTTTGATCCAAGCAGTGTCCGCCTTTGAATTTTGTTGCCGATCAGTCGTTGTAGTTTGAATGGCTCGCTTGAATATTAATGAAGCTCGAAATGTTGTTCACCTTGTTCGGTGTCGAGTGAAGTTTTGCATCTAACAATTTACCAGTTCTCTCTGTCAGCTCACGAATTCAACATTTTAATTCTCTGTTCGGTTTTCGGCAGACATCTGTTGTCCGTGTCCGCGTTTATACCTTCGCGTTACGACCCTCCTCAACATGAATTACCTGCGTCCCCATTGATTGTTGATCGCTCGAAAAGTCAGTGTTTGTAAAATCAGTGTTCTTGTTCTAACGTATTATCTCGGTATCAAGTTTACTCGTAATCATTAGTTGCATGTTCTCATCAAAGATCTGCGAATATTTGATAGGAAATGGTGTCAGTAAACCCGGATCACATTTTTGTCTCCTCAAATTTTCCCTTCAACTTTCTCTAAATGTTTCAAATGAAAGATTCTTGTTTCATTCATGGCGATTATTTCATCTTATCTGTGCGCCTCTCGTATCCGTGACGATTAATTCTCAGAATGTAAATAGACTCAGCAAAAGTATGATTACTTTTTCCATCTAATATTCAATTTGTTAAGTTTTCGTGAGTGGTGCTCATAGATTATCAAAATGAAGCTCTTCCATTTGAATTACCTCGGTTTTAAAACTGTCGACAAACGGTTGTCAAGTCCTATGGTGCCATGGATTATTGCGGAAATTTGCAAGAACGACAAAGTGATAAAAGTAAGTGTGTACCCATAGTTTCTCTCTTTATTTTCTAAGGAATGGAAGCTCCAGTGCCGTCAAACTTTAATCACTGAATCCATCTTTCTTGATTTTCTAATATTGATAGATTTGTAATGGTGAATACCATGACATACATGTCATGCCTGTGCTGCAGGTTGATAACTGATGACTTGCGTTGGTCTAATGACAAGGATACACCAAATGGAACGGAGTCATGCAATCGGCAGGTTACGTTGATTGAAAGACTGGCGATAGAGTCACTATTTCTTTGTTCAGCAAAAGAATCTATAAGTTGTCTGTCATGAAAAAGGTACAATCAGGTAGCAAGTCGAGCATTTGGCCTGAAAATAGGCTGGCGTTGAGATTGTTTGTTCTCTGATTGACATAGCCAAGCAATCATATAGCTCTATTTCATCCTAGTCTAGTTTTTACCACTAGACAAGCACGCAATTTTGACAACTGCAGGTCCTCTAAACTGTCAGCAGATTAGACTTTATTAGAAAAGACATTGTCCATTCGGATCTTCTGAATACATACGTTTGTGACTCTTGCGTTATGGAAAATTCAGCTACCTATTGTCTATTCACTCATTGCCAAACTCATCATAAAACAACCCCTCCTTTGTAAATTAAATCTATAACATCCCTTAATCATTAACTTTTCTTGTTGTTATTGTTCGACTGTTACCTGGCTATCAATCAAGATCTAAGTATGTCTACAAATCATTCCACTGATCAGTCTCAGCCACCAAAATTTTGAGACCTCACCACTGAAAATGCAATTAAAATAACGTTAAGTAAACCTTAGCAAATTTTGAGCTAACAAGTGCGAAATGAACTGAGTCAGTACTTACATTCAATGTGTATCACTTGCTGACCAAGTGAAATCAACCAAAATTGTTTAGCTTTTAAAAGATCTTCATATTGATTGGAGGATGGTCACTAGTAATCTGGATGCTTACTAATAATCTGCTTTACCAATTATAGTCAAACTTGTCTTGATTTGTGGTACCCTATTACTCAGATGCAAAGTAGTGGTTCACTCTCCAGGCAACGGTATTCTCGCATAAACTAAGAGAATTCTAGGTTTATGAGGTCGTCCCCGATCTTCTCCCTAAAGTGTAATCTAAGCATGGAACGCTGTGATCTCAACCTAAGAATTAAAAGAGAGACTAATTAAAATGCCTAGTTATGCTTATCGTTACATATTTTTCTTCTGCAAACTAATAACATACTTTATTCATTTTCATCTTTAATTTGCATGTATAGTAAGGATTAATTTTTATCTTCATTTTGCAGGTGACGTTGAGCATCGAAGGTGGGATGATATTAGTAGCCCCAGGCTGGTTGTCGACAGCCAGTCAGCACTTCATGTTTACGCACTCATTGGTGCTCATCTCGCGGTGGTTCAAAGTGAACCACACAAATGTTTACAGTTTTTTGTACGTCGAAAAGGATGTAAATGAACCGCTTCTTCACTGTCATCTGTATCAGGCTACCGATTGTGATCTGGTGAGTGATTACTTTTTTTCATCTTTTTAGCAATTAATGCTACTGTTAAAATCAGTCTATGAGGGGAAAAAAGAGCCTTTCATAAACATAGACAATGCAACTAACAGAATAGTGTCCAAGCAGTGAGGAAAATATTTTGTCATTCCAAATATTACAGCTAAAAGACCATTTGGATTGCATTCTGCAAAAAGGAACAAAGATCATTCCAATGTTGTTAAGATTGTGCAATTTCACATTCTTTGCAATAAAATTACTGAAATCATGAAGCAATTAAATTTATAAAGGTTCTTTTTGTCTTGAATTTATGATTTATTGGGAAAGAAGATGAAGCTTGTATAGATGATCAGCTTATATTTGCAAGGTTAAAAGAGTTGCATAATCTTAGCAACATTGAAATGCTCTTGGTTTATTTTTGCAAAATGCAATCCATTTTGTCCTTAATCTGCACCAGGAAATTTGCTACTTTTGAACATTGTTCACCCAAAGAGCAATCCACACTTCAATCTGTCTCCAATTAAGTAGTATGTGCTCTGTGTAAGATACCTATTCGTAAATCAGAAAGAATCTCAAGTAAACATTCATGTTTCATGCACAAAGTTTTCTCCAAGCACTAAATTAAAATGTACAAAAAAAAACACACAAAATTTTGTCAGTTTCATAATTATCAAAAATGGAAGTAGTTTTTGTATCAACATTGCTACAGAATGAAGCTTAAGTGTTCTGACGGCCTCCATTTGTTATGAACCAATGAACCGTATGATTAGGGAACTAAGGGAATCTATTTTAATTTTCAGTGAGGGTCTCAAACATTTTCCTCCCTCATTTGAAGACACTTTTGTATGTAAGGTATTCAGGAAGTGTGCTGCTGAATGCTTATCAGGCACCTAGTTTCAAATATCGATGGACATGTGAATCCATTCGGAAATATTACTTAATATTGAGTTAATCTTGTAGGAGTAGCTTTCAATTTCGGATGCAGGCTGCTCTTTGTCTGGAACAGAGTTTCTAATAAGACATGGAATAATCGTGCTTACTTTCCGTACCCCTCGTTCAAGTCTCCGCGGTTATTCCTTCTACCGCGTGGTTGAGTGAAAGAAAAATAGTGTATTTCCCTCGTAAAATACGCCAAAATTGAGTCTCTAAGACATGGAACAATTCCACCTACTTTTCTTACCCCTCGTTTAAGTCTCCGCAGTTATTCCGTCCACCGCGCAGGGGACGCGGGGTTGAGTGAAAGAAAGAATTGTGTACATATTTCCTTCGTAAAATACGCCAAAAATTGAGTCTTCAAGACATGGAATAATCTCGCCTACTTTCCTTACCCTTCGTTCAAGTCTCCTCGGTTATCCCGACCGTTACGCCGATATAGGCAGACGTTAGTCGTATGTTTGAGTGAAAGAAAAAAATATGACAAGACTTCATCAATCGGGGCCACAAACTGTATTCGTTCATTCATTTTAGCCGTTTTTATTCGTCCCTTTGACCAAGTTTTAATTTCAAGTTCTTGTGCAGAGCTGCCGGAATAATGGGCAGAAGAATCGTTGCCCCATTCAATGAATATCTTTATTTTTCAGTGCCTTTCATAATCAGATTCAGTTTTTAATGGATCCATATACATTTCCTCCAGTTTTCCTTAATATATTCTCTAAACCTCCAATACAAAATTTCTAATCGTTTAAGCTATGCACCCGCTTCAGTACAATTTACTTGATTTTTCCACCAAAAAAAAAAAAAAAAAAAAATTAAAATTAAAAAGTACTTAAAGCATTTTTTTTCGAAGCCTTTTTATTTTTACGTGTTAAAGGATAGGGACCTACGTCACGAAAGTGTTGCAAGGATGAGGGGAGGGGGGGGGGCATAAATGCGGAACAAGTCCATTACGTAATTTAGGGACAGTCTGTTTGGAGAACACTTTGGAACTCAAAATTTTCCTGCGCTGGAGACCTTTTATTTACTTTTCATAAAGCAAAAATAGAGGAAATGACGCACCAATTCTAGAAATCCACCCTGAAAGAAAAAAAACTCCGGTCGTGGAAGCCGTACTTCCGGGTTATGTAAACGTATCGCCCGCGTTCCGGGCTCAGAGGCCGAAAGTTCCGAGCGTAGCACCTGGAGCAATCGAAGCTACGACTCAAGCACCCGGAAGTTTCGGCGTTTGAACCCGAAACGGATGGTATGTCTATATAGCCCGTTAATTTTTTTCAGTGCACTGGAAAAAAAACACATTGGATCTAGAGTCCAGACTCATAAAAACATCGACAAGAAAAAGTACTCTTGATTCAATCAGATTCAAGCTTACAAGGGGAGCTTCCCAAGTGTAACCGGAATTTCGAGTTGAAATTTCGCATGAAGATACTAGAGATGATTTTAGGGATGCCGTATTTTTCCGCATCTTTAGCCCTTTTTTTGAGGGCTTTCCCGACCCCATTCGAAAAAACGAAAAAATACGGCATCCCTAAAATCATCTCTAGTATCTTCATGCGTTTCAACTCGAAATTCCGGTTACACTTGGAAAGCTCCCCTTGTTAAATCAAGAACCAAGCCTCTTAATTTAAGCGGATTTCGTTTTGATTCAAGCAAAAATCCGATTGAATCAAGAGTATTTTTTCTTGTCAATGTTTTCAAGAGTCTGGACTCTAGATCTTTTGTGTTTTTTTTTCCAGTGCAGTGCTCCGTTTTGCTCTCATTTGCGAGGTGACCGACGCGTAGCTTTTCGAATCGCCGAATGAGTTGCTCGGCGTGGGGTCCGGGTTTCTGAGTCGGGCGTGGGAATGCGTGCGCTACGTGACGGTCGGGCTCGGCGCAGAAATCTGGAACAAATTATGTAAAAGTTAATGAACTTGGAATCGGAAAAGAATGTGCGTCGGAATCGTGGCTGGTGACACCGAGCCGCGGACGCCGCGCGCCGCGTCGACCGCCACCGAGCTCGGCTCTCTCGGAGCGCGGTAACGGTTTTGATCGGCAGGCGCCAGTACGCCAGGAAAACCCCCACAGTCCGCCCCCCCCTCCTGGAGCAAGGAAAAATCCTGGATCCGTTCCGGAAAGATACCCGACCCCGATTTCTGTCGATGACCGAGTGCCGTTCTCGGAGTTTTGAGCCTAGGTCTCCTCCAGAGACAAGAGACCCTCCACTAGTATCTTACTTTCGGGACTTCAACATTTTACACTGGGAAAAAAAAACACATTGGATCTAGAGTCCAGATTCTTAAAAACATCGACAAGAAAAAGTACCCTTGATTCAATCAGAATCTAGCTTAAATCAAGAACCAAGCCTCTTAATTTAAGCGGATTTCCTTTTGATTCAAGCAAAAATCCGATTGAATCAAGATTATTTTTTCTTGCCAATGTTTTTAAGAGTCTTGACTCTAGATCCAAGCGAATTTTTTTTCCTGTGTACTGTTGACCCACTTACTTGGTCTATGGTTAACAACGTGTTGGCAGTTTCGTTTTGCAAACTTACCAAAGTTCGGAAAACTTGTTTAGCTCATGACGTCACCCGAAGCTCATCATCCACCAAGAAGGTAGGTCAACAGCCGAAGAAGGAAGTGTTGAATCCCCGAAACTAAAAGCTTCCACCTGTCGACAGGAGGCCAGTGGAGAGTCTCTTGTCCCTGGTCTCTCACCAGTACTAAATTCTTGATGGCCAGATCTTCTTATCACCTCCGTCCTCCATGCCTCACATTATCAGTGTAGAAAGTTCTGCAGGACATCGCGCTGTCATTTTAACAATACGAATGATGAATGTTCGCACTATGTTATTTACCATTTTGAAGATCGTGTGTATAATAATACTAACACACTGGAAAAAAGTCTCTTGGGTCTAGAGTTCAGACTCTTAAAAAATTAGACAAGAAAAAATGCTCTTGATTTAACCGGACTTTTGCTGAATCAAAAGGAAATCCGCTTAAATTGAGAGACACTTAAATTAAGAGGCTGTCCAATGTTTTAAGACTTTTTTCTTGTCAAATGTTTCAAGAGTCTGGACTCCGGATTCAGAAAAAATTTTCTCCAGTGCTTTATTGGGCGAAAAAAATAATAAAGCTGCAGAGTTCAGTCACAAAATGTGTTTTCTTGCTTTGGGCACAAGCGTCGCATACAGAAATCAAGCTTAATTCGGATCAAGCGAAAATAGGAATAAGTACTGAGACCTTACTCGAAAAGGTTAGCGGTAGATTTTTATAGCGAACACATTCGGCAACATGGAGCCGGCACGAAGAAGGCCGAATGAATGGGAAAAAAGTATATTATAAAATATGCGGAAAGACGCGAGGTACTTTATGCGAGCGTTGCATCGTTCTCACCCAATAAGACGAGGAAAAGACCGTCGCGTCTGTGTCGACCGTGGAGCCCTTGCTGCCTTGTTGCCGCATTGCTCATATTTGTAGGAATCACATTAGTTTGATGGAGTATACCTTCATAGGGAGAGCATACATGTCGATTTATGTAGTTGTTAGAGCCCAAAATAGCGACAATGTTTAAATCGGAAATGTCTAGAAAAGTGCAGATGCCAACCCATGCATTTGAAAGATTGACCAGTATGACCAACAGCGAATTGTAGGCAAGTGTCTTTAAGGATTGGGACTTTGAAACTGAGAAAATTTATGCGAAATACATACATAAAGCCGCTTTTATAGCGCCGCCTCGCGCTCTGCGACGCCCAATCGCCATTGCCCCCTAGCCTCCCAGAGATCATCAGGCAATTGGCACCTTCTGATATCCTCCTCCACCCCTTGTCTCATAGCATACGCATTTGAAATTGCAAAGGTCTGGATGGCCGAAGTTGCTGAGGAACCTTTATAAAGTACACATATTCTTCTACAACTACCATTGTTTCTTCACTTTCCTCGCGCAAACATTAAAAAAATTGCGTTAAAACGCAAGTAATTCAGAATACAATGAACTCTGCGTTATGCTTCCTCGATCAAGTATGTATACATAAGCCGCTTTTACGGCACGCTAGGGCGCTCTGCGCCGCCTACCCGCCACAGGAATCTGTCCTC